AACCCCCCCCCCCCCCCCCCACTGCAGTGCAACAGTTAACTGGCAACATTCATAGCCGACACGATGCTCATTGAAAAATGTGCAGTTCTATTTTCACTGAGAAATGAAGTGATAGCAAACCAGTGACTGTCAGTTCAGTTAGCTGCTGGCTGAAGGTACTGTGGAGGAGAGCCTAACGATGTAAAGTGTACATGAACAAATGTGTTGTTAGAATACATGTTTAGGTCATTCCAAGCTAAACCCAGCATTCATGTTCAGACTATTCTTTTTTTCCAGCAGTGCACTGATTGTATATCCTGTGTGTGTTTGGATGCATCTCTGTACGTGTGCATGTGGTTGCTCGTGTGTTGCAGGTGGCTTCCGGTTAAAGTACACAGCCTCCCACATTTCAGAAGCACTCGACAACGCCGACTGAAGGAGAGAAGAAGAGGAGTCCCTCTGGGTCTCGTTTCCACGGCGATGGTCCTCTGCTCCTCCCCGGGCACTGAAGCTTCTGTGTACTTCAGGAAAAAAAACTCAAAAAAAAACCCAACTCAAAAAGAAAGAGTGACCTGCCAAAGGCTCGGTGGACAAAGCCTAAGTACTTGTGCCTGAGAAAACCTTGTTCCCATGGAGATGACTCACTGTCTCATGCACAGCGACAGTCCACGTGACCACGGGCCCCTTCCCTTTCAGTTTGTTTTTGATATTTTTGCACTGAGGGTTGGATATGATTAACTTATTACTTAATTATTAGGAAGTTCAGAGATTTTGGGGGATTTTTTTGTTTTTACTTAAAAGTCTCAACTGAAAATGGTTCTTGTACCCTTATTTCTAAAATAGCGTATTTATGCTTTTTCCTCATTATTACTGTTCACCTAGGATTTTATTGTCTGACAGAATTGTACAGCAGTTTTCAAAGATTAAACACAAGAATCAAAAGTAATGTAAGCAGAATGGATTTTAGGTTTGTTTCAGTTTTGCTGTAAGGTTTTTGAATGTACACCTTCTCATATAAGGAAGCTGACTGTGTGTAAGTGTGTCGCCACTTGATGTGTTTAGTTGGAAGGTAATTGCTGCTTTGTAACTATATATTTTTTTCCATTTTTAAAATAGTTTTATTCAGTGAAATGCACTATAGCGAGGCAGGAACACAAGTGCACTATAACAGTCGGCACTAGAACAGAATTATTCTTTTTCAGAATCGACACGAAAAAGCGGAATAATCAGCTAATGCAGCATTTTGACTGTTTTAGAATATTGAAGTATTTCAGGTGAGGAACAGCTTTTTAGGGCTAGCTTTTTGAAAAGAGATGCTGTAGAAATACAACAGCAGAGAAACTCATTCTAGCCCGACCCCAGCTGAGTAAACTCACAGTAGTCAGATTGACTATGACCCCCTGAATTTTAGTCTAAAGACACAGTCAGGCTAAAATTCCCACTTGTACACAGAAAACACTCAAAAGCCCTGGGTAGATTCTATGTTGGACTCTATTTCTAACCACTACTGCGACGGTTCTACAGGCCTCCGTTTGTGTCAAACTAGCTAGAACATACAATGTGTAATCTAACCCCGTGTAAAGGTTAACGGTTTCATACCCCTGCCGCCCTGAACTCTCCCCAAGAATGATGTGTTTACACGCATTTGTTAGCCTGAAAGTTTCATTCAGCCCGTTAGCCAGTTAGCTGTAGGGCGGGGTGGAGCTGGGCCATAAATCGATTCATTCGGAATTCAATTTTAATACGATGCAAAAAAACAGCTAAATGGAAAGAGATTTAAGCTACAGATGTTCTAATGCGGGGATATACAGCTGCTAAGGCCTCTAAAACAATCCACTCAAAGTCACTCATCTACACAGAACATGTAGAAACATTTCCCTGCTGTGTTTGTAGTTTTGTTTTTTAAGAAACAAAAATCAATCAAAATCGGGACCAGGATTTTATTGGATGGGGGGTTATTTTGTCTTGCCCTAACCAATCGGCAGTTCTTCCTGCCCCTCAGATGTTGATTTCATTCGAAGCTGCATTTGTGCTCGTCAGGAGCAGTAAAGTTAACACTCAAGTCAATTAAAGAAATATGCTAATTTATTTCAGTGTGTTATTTCTGTAAGTCCACTTACAACATCTGTACAGCTGCATCAGTCTCCTCCACACTCACCAGTTTTCTGTCTCACTTTTTTATGGATGTAGCTAGCTTGGCGTTCCCATTTATTTATTAAAGCAAGATGTAACTTCTGTTTAACTGTGGCCACAGGTGACATTAACAGGATGCTAAAGAATAGTGTAAAGTCAGTGACATGATGACTCAGTAATCAGCAATACTTATCTAAAGTTGGCCACCATATGTTGAACACATCAGAACAAGCAAGGCTGTAGCAGCGAAAACTGATGATCAGTTTCTAAAAGTGAACATTTTCAGACATGCATTTATGATTGTAGACAATTCACAGAGCTCTTTGTGTGAAGCATACTGACGCTTTAAGAATACAGCAGTTTAGTATTGATGGGGATTTCAATTGTTGAGCTTCCTTTTTTAAAGCTGCAGTAGGTTTGTTGAGTATCTTTCCTAGGGCATGAAATACGGACGCTTTGGTGAATGTCAACTATCTTCAAACCCTCCAACCCAAAGTGTCTTTCTATCTTTCTCGGCTCTGATTGGTTGTTTTTGTTCAGGCCTGGTGGAATTCTTGCAAATACCATTAGGAGCAACTAGGAGGAGCCAGAGGAACCAGATTTTTTTTTTTACAGATTATTATTGTCTTGTGTACTACTGTCAGGATATAGTGAAAGTTTTAGCATATGACAAAAAAATATCTTTATAAAAATGACCTACTGCAGCTTTAAGGACAGAATTTTCAGCCGTTGCTTTCATCAGTGTACAAGGAGGAGCCAGCTTCAAACTGTCCCGTGGATTAACTTCTCAAGGGTTGATGTATATGAAGACATTTCTCTCCTGCACTCTTGGTATATTAATGTGTTTGTGTTATCTGACGGCTGTATTTGTGTCAGATCACCTGTTAAAGAGTGAACTGTTCACAGCTGGCTCCGTGGTAACCTATATAAGAGAGCAGAATGTGTGTTGCGTTGAAACACTGAGGAAGGCAATTACTGACTTTTTCTACACTTGTTAATGGAGAGAATGAATGTGGAATCTATGTTGGGGTTTCTTTCTCCACAGAACTGTTGAAAACTGAAAGATATCTGACGAACCTGATAATGACATTTGACCACCAATTTTTGTTTTAAGCCATCAGATTTCCTCACGTGTTTAAGGTTATTCTACTTTCTAATTAAGGTGGTATTTCATGCTTCCGCAGCCTCATTTTGTCAAGCTGTGTCGTTCCTGGTCAGGGCGGAGTGTGTGTGTGTGTGCGTGTGTGTGACTCTCAGGCTGTTTTCAGGGCTTTGTGGACGCTCTGCTTGTTTTAGTGGTTTTGTCTGCCTACTGTCAGTGCATTATTTCAATTAAAAATCTATGCATACGTGCTTGTTTCCCTGAACGCTTAAAGTGACTGTCACGGGCGCCGGTGGTGGAGACTGTGGTGTTTGATGTGAATGTGTAAAGGATGCACACCCTCAGACACACTGCTGTTAGATCGGACTATGTCAAACTGTTTCCCAGAAAGTTCTTCCTTTCGTTCGACACTTGAAGCGGATCCGAGGGTCCTGCCGAGCTCTGGATCCAGTGATCACAAGCAGTGAGCAGATGTGGACCAGTGTACATACCGAGGATGCACCAAACAACCCAAGTGTAGTTTTGTTAACCTTGATGGTTTGAAAAATGCTGTACTGTACATTTGCAAGGGGTCCCGCGGCCCTCAGTTGTAATGTTTACTGTACTCTTTGATATCTCTGTACTGGAAAGGTCAAATATATTTCTAGAGCGGAATTTGGATTTTATGCAAATTGTTGATGTCTTTTTTCCTGTAATTAAAAGCAATAAATATAAAAATGATAAGTGAATTCTTTGAAGTGAACATTTTTGAGCAGTTTGTTTTTATGGCGGGAAAAGTGTCATCCAGTTTAGACCAAAGACTGACAACAACATGAAGCTTGCAACTTCCACACACTGAAACCTGCCGGTTCACACCAATGCAACAAGACCAGATGATATTGTCTCCATAGCAACAACTCTTCTTTTTTTGTAGCTGGATATACGTTGTAGCATCCTAAGATATAAAATGAGGATGATGACTTACTCGCTACAGTTGCTATTTATTGAGGAAAACTCCATCCATGATTGCGTGGGTCAATTTTGAGGCTTGACCAGCTGACTTTGCAGCAAGCCGATTGGCTGTCGAAACAGGTGACGGGTCTTGCGTTCTAAAACCAGCCCACTGGAGATCTGACAAACTGAGTTGCAGCAACGCCATCAGCCGGCAAGAGTCGAGCTGAGACAACCAGCTCACACCGCTGCAGCGTTGTGTTTGGTGTCGGTGTGAATCTTTGGTCTGAAAGCTTTTTCCTGAGTCGTGGGTGAATTAGTGATGGATTATAGAATAACTTAATACCAGAAATACCAACAACTCGTCATACGTTGTGTGGGTTCAAACCTGTACAAGCACAAATGTTGATGGATGTGTAACTCATCCCTCCTGCCAATATGTTCCACCACTGCAGAAAACACAGCCATGTGATAATGTGAGACGACAGATTTACCTTAAATAGATGCTGTTGAGCAGCTGGCTTCCCATTGGCTAATATTTGCAATTATACAAAATTTAGACATTTTATTGGAATTTTCACAGAACCTCTTTATTCAAATGGTCAGAGCACTGCGAAGCTACGCTTACAGGAACCTACATGGAATGCAGCAGAAGCTCCTGTACATTTAAATACAAAATTCAGCAGTTAAATACAAACTTTGATGAAATAAGACTCATTTTGTTTCTTCAAGGACAGCGAGCTGCTACGGTCTAACCGGCAAAATACAATATTGAGGGGTAACTTTTTAAAGAAAACTAACTGCAGAATGTGTCTCGTACAGAGCGCTCTCAAAAGCAAACAGGCACTTTGTTCGGGATCAGCATTAAACTGATCCACCTAATGATGCCATTAACTGAAAGGGGTTGTGATAACCGTGTACTCAGACTGCGGGTGTCTTACACATGTCCTGTTAAGTCCTGTTGTTCTGCAGGGACTCTATGAGACTCTTGTTGTACTCTGACACTTGTTGGAAGACATTCTTGGCGACTGAGTCGTAGTCACTCTCCTGAGATTTCGAGGCGATGACTGATGCTGCGGTTAAGGCAAAGATCACTGGTGTAAACCCACAGGGACAAATCACATACATCACAGAACTTATCTTTAGAGGGGATGAGTGGCAACGCTCCAGGACAAAGTCATAGAGAGGTAAAGACAGATTTCAGAAGGATACACTCTTTCATTACGAAGTTGTTCTGCTCCAAGTGCTGCCATTTCCTCTCAAGGTTAGCCAGCTGAAACACAGGAAGAAAACACAAGATTAGTGTGGGAGGAACAGAGCTTTAATGACACGACCCATCGGGTTCGGGCCCCAAACTGCAGCTGTAGGTCGGGTTGGGCTTGGACAGTATATATATATATATATATGAATTCCTTGGGGTTTCGAACTGATAAAACGAGACATTTAAAGACACCTTTAACACTATTTTTTGACATTTTATTGACCAAATCTAAAATCAATCTAGAAAATAATGCGCAGATGAATCAATAATGACAATAATCAGTAGTCTCCGTCCTACTGTATAGTGACAGTGATTTTTCTAAGCACAGTGTGAAATGCTCTGACCTGAGCATGAGTCTCGTTTTCTTGCAGTTTGGTCTTCAGAGCTTCATATTTCTGGTTCATGTCGTCCAACAGCTGTTTGAATGAATCCCGACGCTGAGTCAGCGACACGCGGTCCTCCTGTAGTCTCTGCGCCAGAGGAACACACTGAGTTAGACTACAAGTTAGGTCGGACTACAAATAAGATATAGAAAACAACTTTTCGCTACGGTTACCTTTTTCTTCTCCTCCCCTGTGTGCCTCAGGGTGTCCAGGTCTCGGTAGGTGTGCAGCTCAGACTCCATGGTGCTGACGCGCTCCTTCAGGGTGCTCAGCTCACCCGTGATCTTCCCCTCCAGCTGCTGCACCTTCTCCAGGTCCTGCTGCAGACGCTGGGACTCTGGGGGGCGTTAGTGCGGGTACAGAGTGCTATGATGGTATATCCGTTTTTTTAAAGAAGGTATACTTTACTGGGTGTGTGTGTGTGTGTGTATTACGAACCGGTTGTCAGTCCCTTGGCGGTGCTCTCTGATTGGACCACCTCCGTCTCCTTGCTGACCAGCACCTCCTGCATGTTCCTCAGCTCACTGGCCGTCACTGTGTCCACCTGACGTAGCCGCAACATGTTCTACACACACACACACACACACACACGCTATTTACTTCATCTTTCTTTTATCTAGCATTCCTTCCTTCTTACCATTACCCCTCCCTCCCTTCCTTCCCCTCTCTGCCTCTCCCCTTCCTCCTCACCCTGCTGCAGTGCTCCAGGAGGGAGACGATGTTCTCCTGGCTCTGTGACATCTTCTCCTGCTCCTGAGCCCTGCTCTCCTCGAATGACTCCAGGTACCCTGACACACAGGAATCAGATTTAAACCAGTATGGGGTCACGCAGTGGCCTTTTATTGTGACCAGCC